GCTTAAGAAGCTGCCAGTCAAAGTCATCTTCATTCTCACCAAGATCTGTAACATCATCCTGGAATGGCAATACTTTCCTGAGTGTTGGAAAAAGGCTAAAATAGTCCCTATACTAAAGCCTAAAAAACCACCAAACAAACCAGAATCATACAGGCCTATAAGCTTGCTTTCGTCCATCAGCAAAGTGTTCGAAGCAGTCCTGCTCAAAAGAATCAACGCACACCTGGAGGACAACAACATTCTGATTCCCCATCAGTTCGGCTTCAGGAAGCAACTCTCCACGGCAAATCAGCTCTACAGGGTTGTTGAGACCATCGCTGAAGGAATGGCTAACAAGAGGATCACTGGTGGAATTTTTCTTGATATAGCAAAGGCTTTTGATAGAGTCTGGTTGGAAGCACTCACATACAAGTTACATGTTCTGGGTTTCCCAGAATACATCATTAACATCACCAATTCCTACCTAACAGGTAGATACTTTGTCGTTCATGTAGCAGGCACAAACTCAACTTTCCACCCCATCCATGCAGGGGTCCCTCAGGGGTCCTTGCTTGGACCTACATATTTTAACATTTACGTGAACGACATTCCCACCACACATGACACAACATTAGCTATGTATGCGGACGACACTGCGATCCTGGCACAAAGTGCATTTATTGGTCCAGCAATACAACGACTACAGAATCACATCCATGCACTAGAGACCTGGCTCACCCAGTGGAAGATTGCAGTTAATGTCGACAAAACCAAGGCCATCCTGTTCACTAGGAAAACCAAGATCAAGAAAAATCTCCAGTTCTTTGGTACCACCATTCCCTGGGCCAAGCAAGTCCTATATCTTGGGGTGATCCTCAACAATACTCTCACATGGTCCCCACACATCACTTCTATTATCCAAAGGTTCCGGGTTCGTAAAGCGCAACTCAACCCCTTAATTGCTCGGAACAGTGTGTTATCTATAGACAACAAGTTACTTATTTACAAGTCCATTCTCAGACCATTACTCTGTTATGCCAGCCTATCTGGGCCCACACACGCAAAACTAACAGAGGCAGGCTGCAGGCTTGTCAGAATATTGTTCTAAGGCAAATTACCAACGCAGAATGGTATATCAGGAATAATAGAATACATGAAGAGCTGGGCATGATGCAGCTCAGATCATTCTACTACAGGCTGGCCAAAAGATTTCACAGTAGGCAGCAAATTATTGACAATCCCTGCATCAAAATCTGTGAATATGATTATAACGATCTTGCGAATATTGATCGTCCCCTTGCTCAGCTCAATGTGTACATTATGTAATTTATTCCTGCTTTGTGTATACTCTTTCTCACCCTTTTACCTGCCTCTGATGTCATGTATGTTCTTATTTTTATTATCTTCTAATGTATCATTAATTATTGCTCATATATTTTTTGAATCATGTATCATGTACTTAATGGATCCAGACTATTGACTTACTCACTTACCATCTTACCATGTAACTTTGTAGTCACGGCTCGACAGCTTTCCTGGGCTTCCACCATAACAGCAATTTACCCTCTAAAGACCTAAAAATTTATATAAATATATAATATATATTTTGGTAATTACTTATATGCTTATATTGAATGGTTAACTGTAAATATAATATTAAATGGAACCAGACATATTCTACAAGGGGTAAGGCCTCTGGCCTAGGCACCCTGGTGTTGCAAACACCGCTCTACTAGGTAATACTTATCGCTGCTAGTGCTTGTACTTATTTCTGCTTGCATGTATCTCTGCATATCTAAGTAATAAATATTTGCCTTGCGAACCACAGCATTTTCTATGTTTAACAACAGAGCGTGGTTCCTTCAAAAGTTAGAATTCGCTGATATTTTCCCTAATTGAACCTTCAGTGTAATAATTAATCGTTCGCGTTATTTTGATTTGGTGTATCGTAAATGATATCTTTTTCGGAGGTGAAAGGGAAACTTTTGGTGTAGCGCCATTTGACGGTGTTAATAACTTTGTTGTTTGGTGTCGAAGAGTTCGAGCAGTATTTACGGCAAGGGAATTGGATATGTTTTTGAAAACAGAAGCAGTTGCGGACAGAGTTGCAGATGTTTTGAAATCAAAAAAGGCTTATGCCTTAATATTTGCACTTCTAAGTGATAATGTTATTGCTTCTTTTCAACGTAAAGACACTGCATGTAAAATATGGAAGAAACTACAAACTACCTATAGCGCTAAAGGTGCAGTGAGTCAAATTTTAATGCATAAGCGTCTAGCTACCATAAGGAAATCCAAGGATGTGTCAATGAGACAGCATATTGACAGCATAATGAACCTGGTGAGTAGTCTACGTGTCTCTGGCTCTGAAGTAGGTGACTTTGATATTATTATTTACATTTTAATGTCTTTGCCAAAGGAATATGAAAATATTAAGGCATCTCTAGAAAATCAGCCAAGCAATAATTTGAGTTTAGATTTTGTTACAAGTAGACTTATTGATTGTGAATCTCTTATGTTTGATTATAAAAATGAAAATAATTATTCTAAACCAAATACAGATAACTCTGTTTTTATTAGTGCTCGTAAAGATTTGTTTTGTACTTATTGTAAAAGAAAAGGACATTCTGTTAAATTTTGTAGCAAAAAGAACTGCGTCTATCATAACTGTGGGAAAACTGGTCATTTTAAAAGTGAATTTTTTGATAATTCTAAAAAGCAGGCAAATTCAAATAGTAATAAGTACGCATCCCCTGCAATATCTTTTATGGCTGGAAATCTTGTGCATGATCAATTTATTATTGATTCTGGTGCAACTTCTGATATGTCTTCTCACAAGAATGGTTTACCTCAATTAAGCCTAAGACTGGAATTGTTAAGTGCGCGTCTAAGTCGGCGGTTTTAGAAGTGGAAGGAATTGGTGATATTTGCGGTAAAACTAAGAATGGTGTTGAATAATGTTAAATGTTCTTTACGTTCCCAAATTAAACGGACAATTAATTTCTGTCAAAAATATTGAAGCGGCAGGTTTGAGTGTAATATTTAAAAATGAAATAGTTTATATCGAAAACAAAAACAAGCATTTTAGATTTGGATACTTGGACAAATGCGGACAATATTTTAGTGATTTTTCACCAAATTTATTTACAGCTTTAGCAGTAAAGAATGATGATTTATGGCACAGAAGGTTCTATGAAATGTTATCATTGAGCTGTTTAAAAATTGTGTAATTCTTTTGTGCTTTGTATAATGTGCAATTAAGGGGGAGTGTTGAGCTATTTGTAATCGCATGCTTACTGGTTAAAGTAATTGAAAGTCACTATTAATAGCTAATTTGAAGCATTACAAAGTATTGCAGGCAATATCTTTTTTAAATTAAAAACTATTACTATTTTTATAAAGAGTAATGCATACCATGTTTTGATATGAAAATTAATTAATTTAGAAATTAATATTTTAAAGAAACAAAAGTATATCCTCATATACAGTGATGCAGATTAAAAACCATTTTATACATCATCAGAGTTGGGATTAGGTACTTTTGTCACCTGGTGCAATCCCTGCAGGTTCTAAATTCTAAAAATTCTGCAATCAAATACCTCCAATAACTTTAAAAAATTTATCTTTAAATTCTTTGCTCAATGACTTTCTAAATTTCCAAAAAATTTACTACACTTAAATTCTGTAGTCTGATGTGACCGCACTTTTTCTATGTATTACGTATCAGCTTTATGAAGTTAATTTCTACAATCCATTAAGCATCTTCTAACAACAATCAAGATATTAAAAAAATGCTAATGTAAAAGGCAGATATTTTTAAACATAATGGAGATAAATAAGAATGTTTCTCTTTAATGTTAACTTTCTTGAAAACCTGTTTTGGTAAAAGTATAGTTTAGGGTACCCCTTGGCGATTTTGGGCGGTACATGGATACCAATTTTGTGCAATTCTTTGACTCGTTATTTTGGCTTGCGAAGCGGCAATTTTTGCACCAAAATTCGCCGCTACACAAAGCCAAAATAACAAGACAAACAATTGCACAAACTCGGTATCCATGTACACATTGACTTATTTTCTATTAAAAAAAAATCCCCAAATTGCACAAAGATGGCATTGCACACTCTTTTAACTTTATCCATGTACACGTCGACCTATTTTTACTTAAAAAAAAATCACAGAATTGCAAAAACTTGTACTGCGCACACCCTTTACTTTGTCCATGTACACATCGATATATTTTCACTTAAAAAGTCAAAGGGGCACCAAATTCTACAATATACGCAAACAAAAAATACATAATCTCAATAAAATACATTTTAAACCAAACAATAAAATAACATAAAAAAAGAAAAACATGTTATAAATTTAAGCACTACCAAAAGCGAATATTCACTTACCATGATTTTTGAGTTCACTTCGTACACCCAGAGCCACGTAAAAATCAAAATATCAATCATACTCAAATGACTTTTTTCAAACCAGGTACTCTTTCTGACTGAACGCTTCACATAGTGACCATCTGAACTTTTCTTTCTACAAACCCATTCAAATCTATTTAAATGGTTTTTTATGTTCGACTAGACACATATCCTTCCTACATACAGGACACTTATAATGGCTACTAAGTAAACCTTCATTTACACACCAGTTAATTAAAGCTCTTTTCCCCTTTCGCTCCAAATCGTACAGAAACTTCAAATTAATCTTACTACATTTGGCCATTTTGCCGTCTAAAGTATCATACCAACACACACCACAAAAAACGCTTATAAAACATTCCATGATTCAAAATTTCCCAGAATCATGCAACCGATTACGTCACAATAGGGTTTCCATAACATTCAACTACTCAGGCTACCATAAATGAAACAACAACTTGGCGATAAATTAAACAACTTTGCCATAATACAAGGGGTACCTTAAAGTCTACTCTACCCCCCGTTTTTTATTTTGACAACAACTTAAGTAACAAAAAAGTCAGTTTCACTCAATTCAGATGTTTTAAAGACAGAAAACCTACTTTGATTTCTTGTATTTGTTGATCTAAACCTCCAATATCTGCATAAGTTTCTTGTGGAGCTTTTTCAAGCTTCATAACAGTTACCATGGGATCAGTATCATCAGACAAAACTCCAACAACTGCATGTACCTATATTAATAAAGTAATCAGAATATCAATTCATTTCCTCTATTATACTTCATAGATTCACTTTTATTTTTATAATGGCGAAATCTTTGAATAAATTTCAAACTTTACCTATTACTGCCAGTAAAGATAACATGAAATTTTACCACCAAAACATACCTTTAAAAAATGTCTATAGTTATATACCAAAATAATTAATCTCTCAAAAATTTTATAGTAATAGATGGTTTATTACAAACATAATTTTCTTCAATTTATCATGAAATACACTGGTTAAGAAATGGCTTAAAAGTTTATATTTTGAACACAAAAATAATAAATATGCTACTGGAAGTACATAAAAAATTATACATATCAAGATAATAATTATTATATACTTATAATTTACTTTATGGTTAAGCAGCACAGAGCAGCCTGGTTCTAACTGATCTTTATCGACAAATGACAAAATGCTGACATAATGCTCACTTCCCACTGATGTAGATACAATAGCATGATTATCATCAATAATTTCTTCTAATGTTCCTACAGACATAGGTGTCCCACGTAGATCATCAACTTTAGATCTTTCTTCCTAAAATATGTAATTGTAAAGTCAGTGTTCCTGTTTTACAAAATATATATTAATCAATATTTTTGTTAATATTCAAAGATTCAAAAACAGAATGAAAAATGAAAGAGGGGGTGGGGTGGACCCACCTCATGCTTCTCTTCTTGAGGTTTCAACCTTTCTTGATTTCGCAGAAATTCTTCTTCCATAAGTAAATAATCTTTTATACGCTCTAATTTCAAAAGCTTCAAGCGACACCTAGTGTGTGGAGTAACTAGGGGGGGGAAAAAAAAAAACATGAAAACAGGAAGAAGTACTAGGTAAGATCTGCTACAATCAAGTATTAAATATTTGTGTTTTCTATTCATTTTAGTACATTAAAATATCAAAATGCGGTTCCATAATAAAAAGATTTTTTAAATTTTATTTCTTTGGTACTACTCTTATATACGCTTTCAGGTCGCCAAATGTGGCTATATGTGTTCTGTGCTAGTTTATGGCGCGATTGCGCGTGCTGAGATGTTGTTTGTATCGCAACCTTTTGATGCTGAAACTTGATTTTACTCTAGTGGTTTTATTTGCTGGTTGGTTCGTTTGGTGGGTGTTTCTAAATGGTTTATGTTGCAATGAAAGACGTGGTGGCAAAATTTCAGTAACTATTTTTTCGGATGGCTGGGAATTCTACAAGGATTTAGGAAAAGAAAGTTTTGAACATTTGTTTGTGAATCATAGTATCAATTTTGTGGATAGTGAGTCTGGCTGTCATATAAATACGATAGAGAGTATGTGACGGCATGTTAAATCCATGTTGCCTATTTATAATCGGAATTGCAATTTTGAGTTTTATTTGGTGGTTTATATGTCTTTCCATTACCATTCTGAAATGGGAGAAGATCCTTTCAACAAATTTGTGAAAACTGCAAGAAATGTTGAGTGGGATAAATTGAAAATTTGTTTGCAGAATATTTGATGAAAGTGTTTGTGTTCGTTTTGAATTGTTGCTTTGCTAATGTTTGAAATAGATTCTGCTGTTCAAGCATTCACAATGGTAAGTGCATTTCATTTTATTGTTGTTCTTATTTTGTAGAATGTTATGTTCATTGTTTTTTTGATATGAATTTCCGTCCTTATTGTTGTTTTTTTGAATTGTTTGTAATTTATTTTAGTTTATTTTGTCAATTTGTGCGCAATGCCTAGATTGTGCAATTCTCTGATGTTTTTTAAGTTAAAATAGAACACTGTGTACATGGTATTGTTCGAAATTTATTGTTGCTATGTTAGTTTATTTTAGAGAGGTGCACATAATTCCTAAATTTCTTCGCTGCATGGATTGTGCAATTCTCTGATATTTTCTTTGAAGCTAAAACAGATTGTTGTGTACATGGATCCTTGCCAAATATTTTCGGTTAGAAACGTAACGTTTTTGCTACTTAAAATTTTTTGGTACTTTCGTATTAACGCAACCAGGCCAAAATTTGCATAAATCGCCAAATCTGGCGACCCTACGTGTGTGGAAATAGACGAAAGTTTATTTGTAAAAAGAAAAAATAACACTGGGCGTGTACTACCGCAGCAATGGGTTTTCGGCGGAATTTGCCGAGAAAAGAAAGAGACTTTTTTTGGTTTACGGTACCACGAAGCGCCGTTACCCTAATGGAAAAATCAAGGAAGGAAGCATCATTTATCCGGATTGGTGGAACGAATACAATACAAGTGAGTTCGAAAATGCTGGATTTCTGCATGGAACCGTTAATCACAAATATAACTTTGTGGATCCCAACATGGGCGTTCACACACAATATGTAGAGCGCATGAGGGGCTCAGCCAAATGGCGCAACAAAAAACAGAGAGGAACAGCCCGTCATCATCTTGACTCATACCTTATCGAATTTATATGGCGGCAAGCTCAAGCTGTTAATGGCGAAGACAGTTTTCAATCAGTGCTAAAAGCAATAGCCAAAAGATTTCCGCCGAAAAAATAATTCTGCAACTTATTCAAATTCGAAACCGGAAGGGTTTAATTGCTATTTTTTATTTTAAAAGAAAATAATATAAAAAACTGTATTAAAAATTATTAATTTAATATAATTGTAATTAATAAATGCACATTTCCTTTCTATTCATACTTTTTTACTCAAACTTACAAATTGCGCCAACCTGGTTGCAATAATACGTAAGTACCAATTTTTTTTGTTTTTTTTTGGATTTTTGGTGTAAATTGCGTGTTAAAAACATGGTTTTTGCATGTGTGAAAATTACGTTTTTTCAGACATTTTATGCTTAAAGTTCAAAATGTAGACAAAACATTTAGATAGTAATATGGCACTGTGGAGTTTCTCGTCAAACATTTGGCGAGAAATTTGTCTCCAACTGAGGGGGTATACAAAAGTTGTTCCATTTTTTTTATAAACAGACATCTTTTAAACATTTTCTATTTACCTAAAGGTAGTTTGCTTGCTGCCTCAGGTCCCTTCTGTCGCTTCTTCTTTTTGCCAACTCTAGTAGGGACTGGGGGTTCATACTTCTTCTTTTTCTACAGAGATTACAAACCAGCAATTACTTGTAATGCACACATATTTAAATCATGATTTTTAAAACATCACTGATAACTTTAGTTCAGTCTGTAAAGACAGCATGCCACAAAAATCTCTGATATAACACATAATTCCATATTCCACATATTCCATATTAAGTGATACAGCACTAGAAACTAGACCATTTTGAAAAAAGTCCAGTTTTTGGTAACTTTTCCTAATACATTTTTTAAAGGCATTATTTTTGCTAATTTGTTTTTAGTTTTGTGTGATGGCCATATTTGTTTCATAACATGTACATTTTTTTGCTATTTAAAAGATTTAAGGAAACAAATATCTTAGTTGCTATTTATTCTATAAAGATAAAATACACTTTATTCAGAGGGGGGACTAAAAGATTGCTCACATTTTTACTTAAAGTACTAAATGATATTACTTCAGCATAATTTTTTTAATATTTTTTATCTGCAAATATTTTTCCAATATTGGTACTATTTTTTTCTTATTGTTTCATCATTATTATGTTATATTCCAATAACATTTGTCACTGTTCATAAGGAAAAAAAAATATTGAAAAATTATTGTGGTTTTGTAAACTATGGCATAAGTCTAAAACAATCCTCAAAACTTGATTCCTAGCAATTTACTGAACATAAAATTGTCATCCAACTGCTTTTAATAAGTGTTTCAATTTGGCATAAATCAGGAAGCTAAAAAAGAAACAAGAAAAACGTACATTTGGGTTAGAAAAGACAAAAGACACATTAGCAATTACCAAGCCTTTTAATTTTGGCATTTAATAAATTTTCAGATTATATGCCAATTTTAAGGTATTTTCAAGCGAAAACTGCAGGGAAACTTATGCAGACTTCCCTTTTAAAATTCTATTACAAAGATAGTCTTTAAAATTACATTTTCATGGCACTGCACAATTTATTAACATCAAATATTTCATTTCAAAAGCAAAAATTATATAAATAATTAAATACTCAATTAAAAAATTTTTAAAATGAGTTTTCAGCCATATTATAAATAAAGTAAAAACTACATATTACGCAAATTTTGGTAATACACCGACTCGAAAAATTTAAGAAGCAACCAAAAAACTCATGTAATTGAAATGATTTTTCAACTAAGAATATGGAACTTGCATAAGATTTCTATTTTGCCATGCCTTCAAAATGATGAAATGTCTTTTTCTGCAACAAAATAAATTTAAATAAGAACACAGGAAATGTGATATAAAGTGAAGTAGGCAAAAGCTGATGTTGCAAATTTTTAGACACACTAAAAACATAAAGTGTTTGGTCATCTATGACTGAAACAAAAGCTTTACAATGATTTTCATGCTGTGTATTACATTGTCTTTGAGTTCCTGCAGTAAGAAATTGTGTTTAAAAAGAAAAACAGTTTGAAGCTCTTATCGCGTGCAAAGGTGGGGGTTGCAGAGATGCAAGTTGGTCTCCCAGTGCATCTCACATGTTCTATAATTTTAAAACCTGGAGAATATGTTATCAATCTATGAATTTATGGAGAAGAATATACTTTTATGGTAAATGAAATTAGTGACATGGATGAGAGTGATGATTCATTTTCTACAGAGTTAAACAGTGATATTTCTAGTGATCTTGATATGGATATTTTGTTCGAAATCTGAGCTCACTACGTGCCTGCCTTCCATTTCCCGGAGAATTTGTTACTTCTTCTTGTGCATAGATTTTCTTGTATTTTTTATTAATTTTAAAGTTTGTTTTAAACTAATTTGAATAGGCTTCTGAAAATTAATTCTCAAAGCGAGTAATTTTTTATATATTTTCATGTAAAGGAAAAAGATTATTAAATGCTAATTTTAACATATATGATACCTTTAGTAAAAATCCGAAGCTATGACATTAGGGCTTAAAACTTTTCGGTTTAATCCTAGTATCCGGTGCACACGGGATTTGGCTACTTTTATGAGGAGCAGTAAAAACGGAACATATACGATAAGTAGTAAACTGGTATTCAAAGAATTTATATAGTTATGTATATAGTGAATATAATTTATATAGTTATGTATATAGTTACTATGTATATAGTGTACTATCACTATATATAGATACATAGACGTTCTTTTGGTAATTTTTGGTGTTGGCGATAATTTTTAAAATCGCGCCAAGACTGCACCATAGACTAGGATTTTACCAACTTTTCTGTTATTGGGGCTAGACTCAGAGGGGAAAGTGCAGAATTGCACACTACTTGGCACGTTTTTAAGAATTGCACATACTCGGTATCCATGTACACGTCAACCAATTTTCACTTGAAAAACCATCCCAGAATTGCATAAAAATGGCATTGCGCACACTCTTGACTTTATCCATCTACACATCAACCTATTGTCACTTAAAAAGAGAAAATTGATAAAATCCAATTGTTACTTTTGTAAAAAGCGCCAAACAAATAAGTGGGCGATTCTGCACTTTAGCCTACTCAGAAATGTATGCATGCATGTGGGTACATCCATACACTAATTTCTGAATCTGGTTCTGATAACAGAAAATTACTTGCTAACTTGTTCTTAAACAGCAACAAATTAAAGTTGGCTTATTTCACATCAAACAAAAAGAATGTAAATAGATATATTAAGAAGTCTTCAGTCATTAAATGGGATTTTTTCAATTTAATATTGATTATATAGCTGAAATAGCTATTTTTTTAACTTACTTTATCATCTTTTTTATCTCCTCCAGATCCACTACCACCAGGCCCACCAGATGACTGATTTTGACCCTAAAACAGAACTCATTAGAATTTTTGAAAATAAATAATTATCTAAAACTTAATAAATTGTGAATTGCTAAAAAAATGACGTATGTAAAACTCAATAACAAAATTTAGCGAATGGATGATTCAACGACATTGAAACAAAGCAATATGTACAGATAATGTAATGATAACAAACAAATTTAAAATAAATAAAAACTATAGGCCGGGCATGCGTTTGAAATTTTGAAAGATGAATTATTCTATATCATCTGCGCTAAATGAATTTACTTGAAAATGTACGAACATACATGTATTAGAAAAATAAACACACTGCTTCATTATGCGTGCTATGCTTACTATCAATGTAGGCTTTTTATAACTTTTATATCAGATATATGACAACAATAATTTACAACAAATTACAAAAATTTCGATTTTACGTTCATAAAAATGTTCAGAGATATACTATTTACCACTTCTAACTTACCATCACAATTCGGACATTACTTGACAAATTTGTGTACGGTACAGATACAGTTAAAATTATAGTCTGCCGAAGTGTGGAAACCGGTTTCCTTCACTTTTTAAAGATCCTTCTAAAAGCTTTCATTTAAACTTTCATTTCAAACTTTATGTGTGTATTTTATGAATAATATTAGATATTGCTTTCTTTCCTGTAAATTATAGATATATATTCAATCTTTGAAATTTCACCTTCAATTACTGCTCAATCCATATTACTCTTTTGAAAGTCTTTAATTTTTTTTCTTTCGTTTCTTTCATTTTTAACAATCTGACAAACTAAGCAATTTTAAAAAATTTTTAAATGTAATTAAAGCTCAAAGTTCACTTTAATAAAATACACGGCAATTAAGCTTAACTTGTAATAAAACATTGGCTTTAATTATTTAATTTTCTTTCTATCTTACATTCGTTACATTGTCAGAGAACATTTGTCAGAGAAAATGAATCCGCGACCGAATCGTTAAGAAGGGAAACAGAAACTTCCGAAGGTCGACTAGTTTCTATTGCTCTGGAAATTTGTTAATCATGTCGATCGCAATATTATCTCGGAATTGTTGTCGACGGGTGCCGTGGCACGTTAAAGAATTGATTGGTCATGATCTGAGGTGCTCTTCAGTCGCCCGTTTGATAAACACAAGTAATTTTACAATGTCGTCCTCTGTAAGTATACCAAATGCTCATATGCCGGTAAAAAACATAAAGATTTAATATTACTTTTTGTAAGCTAAAATGTCATATCATTTTGCTTTAAAATGAAGGAGCTACCGGAAATACAAAAGGCGTTTACCACCTTTGTATTTAATAACGTTATTCTTTTCCTTGAATAATTACGGGTCTGTGTATTTGAAAATTAGTAACAATATTTTTAGATGGTTATTAGTCGAAATATTTAGAGATATGGCTTCCCTTTTTTTCATTAATTATTATTAAAAATATGTATTTTACTGGATCTTTTTTGTCTCATTTCAAACGTGATACCTTTAAAAAAACGTTAATTGTATGATGTTATTTGCATAACTGCTAACGAACTGTGAATAGGGTTGCCACTTAGCCACGGTCCATTAACAAGAGAGCTCTTGGTATTGTTTAAATAACGGAGACTTTAATTATAAGGAAGTACCAAATACTCATAGTTGTGCACTTTTATATCTCTATAATTTTTTCATAAAAAGATAAATAATTTTTTACATTTAAGATATAAAACCATAAAGAAAATTATACCAATAATGCTTGTATTTGAATCATATAAAAAATTACATTTTGTGTGTGAAGAAACTTTTTAACCTCAATGTTGAAACTGTTTTCATAAGATTCTGTACTTGGATAAATATGTAATATAAATTATATATCTCAAATCAATATTAAAAGTAATGAAGTTTATAACCCCTGAACATATGCATGATAGGCATAACATATCTGGAAGTCATGAAATCATGCTTAATTTGTTTTTAGTATGTTAGGGATTTTTAAAAAATATTTTATGTATTTTTGGTTATTTTTTAATGTTCTTAATATTTTTGAAATACTTAATGTAAATGTTCTTTTTCATCCTCTCTTCTAGAAGAAAACTAGAAAAGAATATGATACATTTGGAGAATTAAATGTGCCAGCTGAGAAATACTACGGAGCGCAGACAATGAGATCAATGATGAATTTTAATATTGGAGGCGAATCTGAAAAAATGCCCGTAAGATATCTGAAATCAATTTTAAAAGTTTTTCAATTCTGAAATTGTCTGATTTTGATATTGTATATATATTTAACTCTTTACTTTTTGCTACAGTGCTTTTGGAAACTGATCTTGGAACTACTCTTATATGCACCCTTGGTCGCCAAATTTCTCGCCAAACATTTTTGGCTAGAAACTCTACGCCGCCATATTACTACCTAAATTTTTTGTCTACATTTCGAATTTTAAGCCTAAAATGTCTCCCAAAAACGCGTTTTTCGCACATGCTAAAACTACGTTTTGAAGGCGCAGTTTAAACAAAAATAAAAAAAAAAAAAAAAAAAAAAAAATTAGATAGCAAAAATGTAAAGTTTCTAACCAGAATTATTTGACAAGAATCCGTGTACACAGCGATATAGTTTAACTTCAAAAAACATCTATGAATTGCACATTCTAGGCAGTGAAGGAATCTATGAACTACACACACCTTGCTTCAATAAGTTAACATAACAAATATAAATTAAAAAAAATACCATTACACAGCATTCTGTTTAAACTTAAAAAAACATCTACGAATTGCACAATCTAGGCATTGTGCACAAATGAACCAAATAAACTAAATTACAAACAATTTTAAAAAACAACAATAACAAGAAACATTCATAGTAAAAAAAACAATGAGCATAACATTCTACAAAATAAAAAACAGTAAAATAAAATGCACTTACCATTCCTAAATAAAATTTCGCCAGTCACACAACATTTCTGAACAAAAGTGCCACAATTTTGCTATACAGTCAAAAGTCTTTAATCCGGACTTCGGTGATTCCGGATTATCGGTTTTTCCGGATTATAGATCATCAATTTAAATCTGGTAAGATGGCATGCAGAAATTATAAAATTAAAAATATGAAACCGTAATTTATGTAATAAAGAGCAATTATGATGTAAAGGGTATCAGAATTTACAAAAAAAAAAGCTTAATATTTGTTTACTTTATTAAACATTTCTTTCAACGCGTGCATGCATAAAGCATACATTACGCATAGTCGAAATTAGAAAATTGCAACCAAAAAAACTATTTGATGTGTATTCGTGATATTTATAATAATGTGGAATTTGATTTAAATGATATCAAAGACGGATACATCGAGATGAAATACTACATTTAGTAAGGAATTATAAGCCGAAAAAAGAAAAACATCTGCCCTAAAGATAATCATAGTGCTGACAGATCAACTTCAAGTTCATTGCGCGCCGTACGTTCCCCCCGCAGAGCAGCGTGAAATTGATAAACAGATTTTGGAATGCTTAGAGAAACAAAGGATATGCCTTTATCCATTTTTTGCAGCAATTCCATTTTTTGTTTGATGGACATCGAAATATGTTTTCGCTTTGTAGATATTTTGGCAGCTCCAAAATCAAATTCTTTTTGACATAATCGAAAGTTCAAGCTTACTTTTATAAAATTATTCTAACAGTCTGCAAAAAATAATAAGCCTGATAGAATTCGAAGATTAAGGAACAACGTAGTCTGCAACATTAACTGAAATAGATAATTAGATAATTTTACCTTAGCTTATACCGTCCCTTATACATTAAATGTGCATGTGTGAATGCATATGCGTGTGCACAGAAAGTTTGTAGCTTTGAGGTCTGGATTATTGATCATTGTGGATTAAAGACTTTTGACTGTATCACATCTCTTTCTGAGATTCATAATTTCGAAAGTAACAATGAAACTTCCTTCAAAGTTAACTTACTGTACTAAAACCACGATCCCTGACAGCCCACATACTTTACCCAGCAATTATTTAACTGCAATCCACACAAAAGCTATCAGAAATGCCCTTCTTCATTCGAGTTCTTATAGCAGCTCCGCATTTCGAATTCTGTTTAAAAGTCCCACAGAAATTTCCAAAAATACACTTCAATCCTCAAAGCACACCCGTGAACAAAAGACTCATTAACAATTCCAACATCGTACCTTTTAATACTAAATTTACTTTCAATCTAAAATACGTGACTGAGACTAATGAGAAGTTAAACCACTTCAGCAAAGATTTTTCAACATCAACAGGGTTGCCATACAACACGCACTTGCACCAAAAACCAGCGTAGAACACATATTGTCACATTTGGTGAAATTAGAATGCATATAAGAGTAGAGCCCTGATCTTTTACAATTCCCAATCTTGCTTTTTAATTGTTGACAGATTTACTAAGATTATTTTTTTGATAAGAATCCCGGGTAATCACAATTTTCTCCTTATTTATACAACAATGAATATGCATATGTTTTGTTAGATATTATTATTTTGTAATGCTAATATATAAATACTTTGAAAAATTCCATCTATTTAAAAAATTAACCAGCACTTCATTATCTTGTTAATTTGTTTCAATATACTTCCTTGATGTTTAGAATTTCTGAAGCATTCACCTTCATACAGTATTTTAACATATAGTTTTAATTTTGAAATATGCACTTCATTCACTGCTGTTTTAAGTAATATTTATGAGGGTAACTAAAATGCTTGTTGTAAAAATGCAATATAATTTTCACCACTTAAGTAATTTCCTATTAAAATGCAGGGAAAAAAAAAAAAAAAAAAAAAGGAAAATAACTATATTATAGTTGATGCTTAACTATTGAAAAGAAATAATGTGGCTAATCTTTGGAATATGGTAACAGGTAGTTTGGCGACATTTTGGTAAGGCGATAAAGGTTACTAGCTAGGACTTTAGCAGTTTACATGGATAAAGTCAAGAGTGTGCGCAATGCCATTTTTCTGCAATTCTGGGATGTTTTTTTAAGCGAAAATAGGTTGACGTGTACATGGATACCGTGTATGTGCAATTCTTAAAAATGCGGCAAGCAGTGGGCGATTCTGCACTTTCTCCCAATTTCGCACCTAATCTTTGTCATGATTAAGCACTTTTGTTCCATAAAAGTTCTAGCATAAGCGTAATTCGGCTAGCAGTTTTGGAAAAAAATGTTGAGTAAAAAAAAAAGCCTTTACTTCGTGAAAACAAAATGGTGTCCAAGAAAACTAGCAGGTTGCTGTAGCAAGGTTGGTCGCCAAATTTTCGCCAAGTTACTATAATCCAAAGATTAACCAAAATTCATTCACCTATTAAAAAAATTGGGGAAAGTGCAAAATCGCCCACTGCTTGACGCGTTTTTAAGAATTTTACAGACTTGGTATCCATGTACACATCGACCTACTTTCACTTAAAAAAACATCCTAGAATTGCACAAAAATGGCATTGTGCACTCCTTTGACTTTATCCATGTACACACCGACCTATTTTCACTTAATAAAACATCCCAGAATTGCACAAAAATGGCATTGCACACTCTCTTGACTTTATCCATGTACACATCAACCTATTTTCACTTAAGTCAAAGAAAATTGACAAAAATCCTTCTTACTCTTGTAAAAAGTGCCAAATAAGTGGGAAATTTTTAAAACTGGAAATCCTTTCAAAAATCCTAATAACTTTAAAAACTAAAATAGTTTCAAAAACATAGTAAGTTTAAATAATATAAAATCCTTACAAAACCCTGAAAAAATTAATACTTTCACTTCCAAAAAATTTTAAAATATGAAAATCCAGTCCTTGCAGAAACATAATTTTAAAAACTAAGAATCGTCTCAAAAACATGGTAAGTTTCAAACACTTAAAATCGTTACAAAACACCGAAAATTTAAAATACTTTCACTTACCTGAAAAAGGGTAATCCACTTCGCTCAGCTGATGAACTAAAAGTAAAGAATTTTCAAAATATTTTCAAATTATTGTTTAAAATAACTGTACCTCTACCATCTCTTATCTTCTACACCAATCAGAAATTCTAAATTTTAAAATACATACTGAGCATGTGCGAAAGTGCTCCGAATTTCACGCCCAAAAGAAATTCTCAATTTAAAATACATACTACACATGTGCGAAAATGCTCTGAAATTCGCCTTCCAGAACGTAAAAATCGACTTGGATACCACATTTGGCTCACTTATCAATCTCGTAAAAAATGCAAAACACAACGTGCCATATAAGTGGGTGATTCTGCACTTTAGCCAACCAATTAGCTGATAACTCTTTGTAAATTGACCAAAATAGATTATTTTTCAAGGGTTGGCTTATGTGTCTCCTTTTTAGCAAGTTTAGATTTCATTTGAAAAAGCAAAGAAAGAATTAAAGTAGACCGATAATGGTAGTAATAAAATAATTTAGAATTTAGGAAATGCCACAAAACTTTGTCCTACTTGAATAATGGTGCAAATAGGTTGAATAGTGAAGCAAACATATTAATATTTCATGAAATAAATTAGTTTAAATACTGTAAAACAAAATGAAGAAACAGGATATAAGCATATGAATTTGATGATGTTAAATTTGTGAATCTTTTCCATTATAGAGCAACAAATGCCAAACAGTGTTCAGTAGAAAGATATGTGTGCTAGTGTAAATATATTTTCATCAGCTGATTTAGATTATTGTAAAATTTTTCTAAATGCCGTAACAAAGTCCGAGTTTTGAACTTGGGACTTCAGCGATTCTGAATTTAGGATTTTTCCAAATATTATATCATCAAGTTAATAGATGATATGTAGAAATTCTAAAATTAAGACTATGAAATAGTGGTTTATGAAATAATAAAACGTTTATGAAAAATCAAAATTAAAAAAAAAAAAAAAAAAAAAAAAAGCTTAATATTTATTTTGCTATAAACATTTCTTTCAATAGTTTTTAAGTAGCTTGCTTTTATTATGCTAATACTTTCTTTTGATTGCTTAGATAGATGTAATTTCGTGTTCAGTTGCAAAGTTCCATTCTTCGAGTCCTGTGATTGCTATGTCAAAAATTTCTACTAAATTGTAAATTGAAAAAAAAATTTTTTTTGTTCTCAACGACCTCTCTTTCCCTATTGATTAGCGATATCTTCCAAATATAGAACTATACTGCAGATTTCACCATGCATTAGTGACTGACTGGGCATTGTCATCATAATG